CTCTGAAATGTCACCACTGTGGTAAATTTGGACATATATAACCTTATTACTACGAACTTGATGGATATTCTTAACATGATAGTCTAAAGAAGCTGGAGATAAGAGAATGAAAGAAAGTCCATGTCAAGAAGAAGTGGAAACATAATGCTACTTCAACTGGCTCTAAAACTAATACATCGCACTAAAGTTCTTCTAGTGAACAATGGTATTATAATAGTGGAGGTACCAGGGATATCTCTAGAGAAATGAGAGTTCATGTCACCCCTGGCAATAGAGTCGAGGGAAGAATCAAGGGCTTAAGGAATTTGACCAATCCTAGTCAAGAGGAAGTACTACTAAGGAAAAACTCAACGACCAATGTGAACAACATAAACCGTCTGTATGATAAAAGGAGGAATACAAATTCTACAAATCCAAGGGTGGTAATACTAGCAAGGGTAAATAAGTTCTCATGAAGAAGTTCATATTTGAGGAAGACACTGAGGGTTTGAAAGGTCTCAAGATTGATAAAAAGAATACTCAGAAAAAGGAAAGGCCAACAGTGATACGGTGGCAAAACCGACTATTATACTGGTTTTGCGTTTGTGTTTGCAAATGTTGCGGTAAGCAAGATTCTCCACCGACTTTTCTTTTATCCAACAAAGGAAAAGGTGAAAAGAACAAAAAAAGACCTTTTCAAGAGTTTTCTGAGTAAGGGGGGTAGATTATTGAAAGCGAAGGTGTTAGAACCCTTTCCATCCGTAGTTTTCTACGGGCTCTTAGATGATTAGCTCATTTTTTGAAATACCTTGTGCTTTGTGTTTTTTGAAAATGTATTTGAAAATTCCTTAGTGCGGAGATTCGCTTTATGATAACTCTTGTATCAGTCCTCAAGAGTGTTGATAAAGCGAATGTTTTTGAAAGGTTTTTGTGTAAGTTTAAAAAAGTTTGTTTTGAGCACAACATCTAAAAACTATCTACTTATACTCGAAAAGGTTCATTCTTTTCCTCTCATCCTTTAGACAGCGCTATCCTACTATTAGTGATTAGGTATCCCTATTGTTGGATGTATGAGGGACAATCGAAGGGACGTTTTATAGTCACAAAGGTAACTGGGAAAGAAGCTTTAGTAATTACCCTAAGGTTCTAAGATCATACTTTTACCAAGGCAACGTCGAGCGGGTCATCGAGGGACTTATGATCTTTTTTGAACCAGAGGGTAGCCACTAAAACCTCTCACATTTCGAGAGTTGTGACTATTTTCCGAAGGCAACCGAAATGGGGTACCCTAGAGGTGTATATGTGCAATGTGTGTTATATTCAGTTCATTTATCTTTGTTATTAGGTTTGCTAGCGTTTTATTATTAGGCTCCTGTCATACAATCCTATTATCATACATCTGGCAGTTAATATGAAAGCAATAAAAATGCAGGAATTGTGAATCCTACGTTATTGCAATGCTTCGGGGAGGGGATATTTACATATCCAAAAGTTGGGAGGAAAACAAAGAAAGTGATAAAGTCCTAGTATAATCTATTACATACTGTCAGCAGGTACATTATTATAAAAAAATACGAGAATAAGATAATGCGCGCGAAATAGAGACGAACATTTAAACCCCTAAGAAATTGCTAAGTAAACAAGAATCTTTTTTGGTTGCTTTTCGTGTTTATTAAGAAAATATTTAAAATTAAAATGAGGAAGACTAAACTCAATCCTAATTAATTAAATAAATACAAGAAAACTAATTCTAATATTTTTTTTATATATTTTTGTTAAGAAAGATTTGAATGAAACAAATTTAAGTCTAATTGATTTTAAATTAATTAAATAAAGGTCAAAATAATTAAATTAATCAATTTATGAAAATTCAATTAATTTAAGAAAACCTAAGTCTATTATTTTTTTTGGTTTTATATTATTTTGAAAAAAATGATTAAATAAATAAAATGATAAAACAAATAAAAGAGGAAATGCAAATGGGCCTGGTGTGCAAAATTAAAATGGGAGGTGTGAGATTTGAATTCACTGGGTCCAAATAAAAGGAGCTCAAGGTCCGCCTGATCCTGTATGGTTTGTCCCTTGAGGGTTCATCATGTACAACACACTTGGAATGTTAGATCTCCTTCTGCTGGCATTTGATGGCCCAAACGTGAAGGCACATGGTGGGCGCTTGATTATGCAACGCATGGAATCTGCAAAGCAATGTTAGAAAAAATAAAACTTCAGACCTGGGTGTCGAACCCAGGTCCTTTCCCTTTACACGTGCCTGCCTTGCCATTTTAGCTGCTGTTTAAATCAAAATAAATGAAACCAACACTGAATCCTGCAAATTTTGTTAGTTTCAAAACCAAATGAAAACCTATCTCAATCAAAATGACCCCTTGAATCCCAATCTGGGGTTGTTTCGATCTATGACGGTCTATGCCTTAGGTTTCGAAGGTAATCTATTTCGAAAACCTCTAGCCATGGTAACCTACGATTTCAACACTTAAGTTCTCATGTAAAATGCCAGACCTTTTCTAGTCATTATCACAAACATATATGCATGCATTAAATGGATCAACAATATGTATTTTAACAAGTTTGAATCAAAGAAATATACCAAACCGATTAATATCGTGGCAGTGTTTTAGGGATGTGTTGGGCTTGTGTGATGATTGGGGATGGCTTCTGGGACCTTCAGGAGGAATATAGGATGCTGGTTTTGGATCGAAGGTGCCTACAAAAGGTGTTTTGGTTTTGACAACTTTGCTGAATTTTTGAGAATTTTCGTGGCTCTTTGAGGTAGCTTTCGATAGGCAATTTGTGCGTGTCCTCATCTTGCAGATATGCTGGGTATTTATAGGAGATGAGGAGGGAGACTTAGCATGGGAAGAAACAACCTTAATCATGTCCTTTAAGAACAAAATTACACACTTTGAAATTTTCCATAATCGCATATTCTTGCCCAATTTGCGTGTGTTATGAACCTGGACATGTGATGTTTGGCGCCTTGAACGAATTCAAATTGCTCAGAATTTCTTTCACTAGAGTGTCTTCGATCAGTCTCAAGTGTTTGCTAATGGTACTTCTTCCTTCTTCAAGCTCTTCCTCGCTGTCAAACTACTTCTATCTTTCAGGTGTAGAGAGTCTTAAGCAGCAAGCATGAGTGAACAGAGACTGCTATAACCATGTCCCTAGTTTTTAGTAGGCGTGGGAAGATAATTTCTTGATTGTTTAGTTTAAAGTTAAGCAATCCATTTCCGAGAAGAGTTTTGCAGGGAAAGCAAAAGAAGAAAGATACCTTCTTCAATTGCCTTTCTTTTCAATTCAAACCAAATCGAAGCATTAACTCTCCTTTTCTGACTGGTCGAATGTTGCTTCATCTCTTTATCAATCGAAGGCTTTATAGACGACTCCTCACTTTCCTTTGAATTACTCCAGGCCTCATCATTGTGGCTTTCGATTGAGTCCCTAGTTTCCTTGTTCTTTGATTGGATCTGACACTACCCAACTAAACCAAACAAAAGACTTCATCTTGGCCAGTTAAAGCTTCCTTGAATATTTCTCTTTCGTTTTGACCAACTAGACCAAATCTTTGACCAAACCCTTTTTTCATACAATACTATGTGTCCTTTGAATGGGCCTTTGAATGCTTCTTCGAATGGATCATTTACATGTCCTTCGAATGGCTCCTTCGATTGGACCCATCTATTTGCCTTAGCTACTTGATTCAAATAGCCCAAACAAGAACTTCATTCTGGCTAGTCGAAACCTCTTTTGTCACTTCCTTTGAATGCCATTGCATAAGAGGCTTGGGCCTGGCAATATGTAGGACCAAGACGCATCATAAGACAAACTTGCTTTCAGTAATTATGTGTCTCTTTTGAATGGCCACCAATATGTGTCCTTCGAATGTACCTTTGGGGTGCTCTTTCGAAGGGGTCATATTATGTGTCATAGTGCAGAAACTGCGTTGAGGGGTCTTGGCCTTGTGCATTTAAAGCAAGCACAGAGGAATTTTTTCCTTATGCATTAAAGGCAATCATAGAAGAATCCTTTTCCCTTGTGAATCCCAGACAAGTCTGAGGAAGCCTTTGCCTTGTGGATCGAAGGCCAGTTGATATGAGCCTTGGACTTAATGAATCCAAGAAAAGCATGTAGAGGCCTTTCTCCTTTTGAGTCGAAGGTTGTATGAAGAGGCCTTTGGCCTAGTGAATCGAAGGTAACTTGTAGGGGGTTCATGCCTAAAAGAAACTTGGACCAAGGCTTGCTTGAAGGGGAACCAACGCGCAATTGAAGTTGATGGGCCAATGCTTGATCGAAGGGTTTTAGATGCCTAATGAAGCTTGTTGACATGCCAATCGAAGGAGCCTTTGCTCTGATATGTTAATCGAAGGACATTTGGTTGACATGCCAATCGAAGGAGCCTTTGCTCTGATATGCCAATCGAAGGAAATTTGGTTGACATGCCAATCAAAGGAGCCATTGCTATGATATGCAAATCGAAGGACATTTGGTTGACATGCCAATCGAAGGAGCGTTTGCTATGATATGTCAATTGAAGGAACCTTGGTTGAAATGCCAATTGACGGAGCCTTTGCTCTGATATGCCAATCGAAGAACATTTTGTTGACATGCCAATCGAAGGAGCCTCTGCTATCATTCCAAAATTTTCATTTTATTTTGGAAAGTGTTTGTAACTACCCATGTAAGGGAAAACCTTGGGAAACATGAGATGGAAAATTTTGGGGTACAAAACCAACTTAGATGTTAGATAAGATGTCTCAACATCTTACTCAGAATTTTGAATTATCTCATGAGTATTGGGCCACTAAAGAGAAGGTTGATGGTCAGGCGGGAGGTCCTCCCAATTTTTAACAATCTACAGTGGCTCAGAAGAAGAAGCTATAGAAGAATAATGGTTAGGGCATGATTCTTCCTACTAAAATGTCTTGGCATAAGCCTAGAGGCGTGATTAACCAAAAACATGGAAGTTTATTTTGTGAAGCTAAAACTGGTGTAATGAAAGTTGCTAGATGTATGTATCAGATATTTCTCTCCATAAAATTCCACTTGTTGTTAAGTGTGATCTAGATACTGGTGGAAATATGAAAAATCATCATGACACTCTAATGTCTTTTGGTGAAAATTCCAAGGAATGTTTTTTGAGAAATCCTGATGGTGATAAGGATGTGGCATACATCTTGTACGACATGTTGACAAAGTCTCAAGTGCATAAGGAGAATGGTGAACATGTTCATGAATATGTCGAGGTTGATATTACTATAGTTGATGATGGTGTTGTTAATAACCATGATCATTCATTTTAAGATGTGAAGACACTGGGTGAAGGTGTGAATGAAAGATTTTGTACTACTGATGGCAAAAAGTATAGGTTGATTTCAAAGAACACACAATCTATAAATGAGATGACTGCCCTTAATATTGAAAGTGTTGAATCAAGAACCTCTATGATATATGTTGATGAATATGGAAGTTTCTATGATCCTATTGCCCATATTTAAGTCATCAAATGGATTCTAAGACTATCATGTATTATAAAGTTCAAGTCTCAAGTGAGCGTGATTGGAGATGCTATCCACCTTTATGATTGTCAAGTGAAACAAGAAATTGCTACTTCTGTGATCTCCAAGGTACATATGTTGGAAGTAATTGCCTTCAGTTGTTGAGGATTAACCAAATTCTCAAAGAAGGAAATGAAGATGTCATTCTAGATTGCCAGACATCGTGGGTGACATGGTGGTAACTGAGATCACAAATTAGAGGAAGGATGTGAAATCTTCCCTTGCTTATTATGATAAACATAGAGATATTGAATCAGAGACAAATCTTAAAGCAAATGTCTAGGACATTGTATCCATCATATAGAAAAAATGAATGGGAAACAATGTGATACCTTCAATTATGAGGAAAGTATGATGAAGAGGAAATGTTTGTGTCACAAGAAGATAGGTATGAAAAGGAAGTTGTCTAAAGAAGTTTTGACATTTGAAGAACTTGCACAACTGTTGGAGAAAGTTTGTGTGACAAACAAGAATAGCCTTATGATAGGTTATATTGGTGATAATGATAGTGTAAGGAGAAGTGATTGGAAATTTCTCTAGATAAAGAAAATGTTGAAGGAGCATAATGTGGGACAAGATGTCATAACACTGGTATGTGACAATTTGAGTGCCATCAATATTTTGAAGAATACTGATCAACATAGCATAATTAACCATATTGACATTAAACATGATACAAATAACCAACAGTCGACTGGAATTTTCACACAAGTGTTGGATGAAAATCAATTTGAAAAACTGAGGATGGTCCTTATTATTTGCATCTGTGAGGGTCTATAGCAGTCAATCATAGGGAGGTGTGTAGGGGTTTTTTCTCCTTTTGGGTTTATGTTGTACATGAAACAAAGCAGACTTCACTTGTTTCAAAATCTATTTTAGCCAAACCTTTATTATAAGCAAGAATAGTTTGTTCCAACCTCTATCTTATTCTCTCTCTTAATCAAGTGTGAATTGCTCTCCAGATGAATCAAGAATTTGGAAATCAAAGAAATAAGAATCTCTCTACCGAATGAGTCTTAATCACGAAGGCACTTGAAATATTTAGTGAGTCTGAAGATAATAAGAACAAGGTAGTCGAGTATACCTTTTCTGTAAATAGAAGAGGCATATTTGTTGGATTATCTAGTAGGGCATCTATAACTAGAAAGAAATTTGTGACCAATATGAAGTCTTTAAAGAAGAGACCAGTTCAAGCTAATGAAGAGACAAGTTCAAGCTCAAAGGCTGGTGAAGAGTGGGTCAAATACATGAACTACAGAGGGCGCATAGATGATTAAGTCTAGTGGAAATTGATTTTAATTCTATTTTAGTTGGCCCTTGTATTCTAAGCATGTTTTTATTGATCTGTAAGGCTTTATAGCCTATTAAGACTGGTTTGATTAATGCATGTGCATATTTTGATGTTGATCTAGTTGTTTTACTCATGATCTGGTTGTGTATGTACTAACATACTAACCTCTGCATTACTGACCTCTGGCTGCTAGCTTGAATAACTAACTCTTTGCCAAATTATGGCACAAGTGGGGAGTAATGGTGTGGAGTGATCTTTGTTACCATTGACTAATTAACATATAACATGTATTTGTTTAGTATTGATTCTGAAGTACTAATGATTTTCTCACATGCTAGAATATCGAGCAAGAAATTTGGCCCTTTTAGTGAGCTTTTGTGTTAGTAGTATTTGGCATATCCTAATATTAAATACTAACTATTTATGCATGACTAATTATGTTAATGATTGCATGCTAATAATTGTTAGTTGGTAGGATTGTATGCTACTAACTATGTGCTAACAAGGTTCATGCATGACTAAGTATGTGAATTATTGCATGATTAATTGCATTGTCTATTTGGTTTGGAGCAACTAAACGGATTATGTGTAAGCATCTGAATGTCAATATTATTGATGCTACTGATTTGTGCTGTTGTTGATGCCTTACTCTAATGGTTGGAAGGTAGCTGTTAAAGCTGATTGTAAGCTCTAATAGTCTAGTGTTTCTACTAGTTGCCAATTTTCCTGATCTATCTAAGTGGTATATCTTGAAAAGTTATTTTACCACAATTTTCCAAATGGGGAGTGTTGTACCCCAAAATTTTCCCTCCCATATTCTTCAAAATTTGCAAAGAACATGCTTTAAAATCTCCTCAAAGGTTGCACAGTTCAAAGGCCTCATAACAGTAAAAAAAACTAGGGTTTTGGTTCTGGCAAAGAAATTGAAGTTTTCAAGGGTCCAATCAAGTCTCCTATGCCTAAACATTGTCAAGCACCTACATGTCAAGTTTCAAGGCTCACAAGGTCAAGTTGCACAGTCAAAAACCCTAATTGCCCTACAGTCAACTGCAGGGGCAAAATGGTCATTTGACAGTCAAAAGTTCAAATTTTTTGTCAACATCTTATTTTGAAGCCACAAACATCATTTGATCAATTCTTGATCATGATTCTCAAGGCATGGCTCAAAAAGTCTCAAGATGCAAAAGTTTCCATATTTGGACAGTTGAAAAAGTCAACTGTAACTTGACCAAGGCATAACTTCCATATGGTTTATCAGAAAAATTCCATCCAAAGCTCATTTTGAAGAGAACGACATTTCCTACAACTCCTCTTCACACTTCAAGTCCAAGAAATTCTCTCCCAAAAAGTTATCAATTTCAACATTATATGTCATTTTCAAAAGTCAACAAAAAGGCACTTTAAGTCAAAGACCATAACTTGAGATTGGTAAATCAAAATGACATGGGACCAAAAGCATTGGTTAGAGGGCTTCAATACCTTTCCAAAATGTCCAAGAACATGATCAAAGCTTAAAAATTGAGCAAGATATGCCTTGTGGAAGTTGGGAAATTTTTGGGAATTTTGAAAAGTCAACTTTACTTCAAATGCCTCAAAATTGCTAATGGGCCACATTTTCTTCCAAGATTCATCATCCAAAGGCTATGCACGACCATTTGGCCCAAAGGGGATTTATTTCATCATTTTTATTATTTTATTTGAATTTTTAATTACTATTAATTCATTTAATAAAATAAAATATGAAAAAAATACTAAAACAAATGTATGTGAATCTTTTTATGCAGCATTTGCTCCCATTGGTCATTCAAGATTCGTGCACATCAAAAAAGGGATGATTTGGTGCAAATTGGCATGATATTCATGGAAAAGATTTGGAAAAATATACATGAAAAATCAAATATCTCATACATCAATGCATTGATCCTTTTGCTCAAGATTCAACCCTAATCCATCCCATACATAAGTCAGATGCAAAACCTAATGCCAACAACCTCCAAGCTGCGCCCAAAACCTCTTATGCACTTTGCAATTTTGGTGAAAAAAATCAAAACTGAAAACACCATTCCAAAGCGATTCAAGGCTTCCAACCAATTGAAAAAGCTTCCTAAGACATCAAGGAACCTAACTGAATCCTTTTCCACGCTTCCAGCATCAAGAATTGGTATATGGAGATCAAACTGTGTCAAACTTTTTGCATATTCGTGTCTCATGATTCATGCGTTGTTTTCAATTTTTAATGATTGATTTGTGTTAATTTATTCATTCTAAAGTTAACCATGTACTTTAATTGAGTTTTCGTGCCCTAGATGCAAAGTTACCATTGAAGCTTGCTAGGGTTTCATGACTGTAAATTTGGGGCTTCTTTGTTCTGGAAAAATTGGGACACGAGACCAGGGCCATTAGAACCAGGAGCTTCATACGAACTCAATGCATAGGTCGCGCTCAATTTATGAGCAACCAGGGCCTATTCGCTATTTTTTTACATACCATGTAGTGGGGGTTTAAAACCCCCGCTATCCTTTTTCTTTTTTTCAGGCAAACGCAGGACAATTGGAGAAGAAGGTGAGGTTTAAGCCAGTGGTTGGTGCGTTTGAATTTCGCGTGAAAAAACATCACTAACCCTCGTTTTGCCTTATATTGTTTATTGGTTATATTATACTCAAAGCGCGTAAGTGGATCAAGTGGTCAGGCGTTGCATTGGTAAACTCTGGGACCTGGGTTCGATTCCCAGGTCCCCTCCTTTCTCCATATTATTTTTCTTTCCATGCTAACATGTAGCGTTCCCCTCAGAAGACTACCATACGCCCATTATCCAAGCGTGCCACACGTCTCAGAGTGTCAATCCAAAGGTCAAGATTTGAAGAACACCATGGGCACCAGTCAACGCAGGTGCACACGCGTCAAGAAAGTCCACGTGGGCTAGCATTTGATGGGCCAGAATTACTGGACTATACCTCCAGATTGGGGCAGAACCCCCCTAGTGTATTATATTTCTTTCTCTTTTCTTTCTTCTATTTTTTTATTGTTTGTTTTAATTCAATTGTTTTCTTTTAATTCATCAAAAATAAATTTTATAAAAGTACCAAAAATACCAAAAAATTCAGAAACTATAAAAAATAAAAAAAATATTTTATTTAATGTTAATTTGTAAATAAATTTAATAATTAATTTAGTTTTTAATTCTAGGTTTAATTTTAAATGTTTTTTTCTTAATAAATTAAAAGATGTAGAATTAGGGTTTTATACTTTTATCTTTCTTTCTTTTTTTTCACCATATTAATCATTAATTATTATTTTTGTAAATAAATTGCCATGTAAATAATTAGGTTAATTTTAGGTTCAATTTTAACATGTCTTTTTAAAATAAATTAAAAATATTTAGAATTAGGTTTTAATTCCATTAATTCTCATTAAAATCCATAAATACAAAAAACTCAAAAATAACTTCTCTTTT